TTTTACAAAAATATAAAAAAAGAGCAGAGAGAGGGATAATAATGACAAGAAAAGTGAAGAAAAAAAAATTAATTGTGAAACATTAACTTGCAGCATAAGTCTGCAACAGTTACATAATGATTTAGCAGATCCAAATCTTATTTCTTGTAACAATTTTTTTTAGTAAAACAATACTGAAATAACTTCACATATTTCTAGATATACAGTTTTTGTTCAAATAAACAGAATTTAAATCAGGGAAAATAAAGAAACTGAAGTAATCATAGAAATATCTAATTTGGCCTATAATAACCTTATTTATTTACTGTCCCCTCTATTTTTTGTGTGAATTTTCTTACATACATGTGGCTCTACATGTGTTCGGCTGATTTCTCCATTCCTTGATTTTATGGGAAAATGTGCTTTTCTTTCTGGTACTATTAATATTTTACTCTTACTGATATTATGATAATTAAATAGTTATTAAAATATCACTAACACCAAAGACCATAAAAATAATACAAATGAGCTTTCCGTAAAACAAGGAAAAGGGTAAACAGGTGAGAGAGGTAGAACTATCAACTGACTTCTTGGTGACTAAGCACTTGCAGAGCCATCTATGTGTAAAGACAATAGATTACAGTGGGTATGGCATGTGTTCTTGCCATCCATGCCAATTGGGTTAAGGAAAAGTATAATTTACTTACATTCCTTAAATTTTAGAATAAGAAAGTTTTATTTCCATTACTATGATCACTGATATCTACACAATTATCATTATCACTATCATTATGTTATTATTAAAACAATATCAATAAAAAAAATGAATAGGGTAAATAGATAAGGTCAGGTTAGCCAGCCTAGTACATATCTCCTTGGTGACTAAGTACTACTTGATGCATTAACCCTTTGCCGACGGGTGGCATGTATGTACATGCAATGGCATGCCTGGACTATCTGCAATGGTGTCTCGTATTCTGGGGGCATGTATGACCATGCCATGAGTTTTTTTGTTACAATTATGGCAAAATATTACTTTTTTGCCACTGAAAATGTGATTAAGTAGTGTGCATGTGTATGCTTTTGTGCATGTGTGTGTGTGTGTGTTTGTGTACATGAGCATACGTGTGTGTTTACATGTACGTACGTGAATTTGTGAGTATTGCGGGAGAAGGTGGAGGTTGGGAGTGGGACAGAGAGGTTCAAAATGGTCAAGTGAAGCGAAGGATCGGAGAAGAAGAAGAAAGGAACAAATGAACGAAAAAAAAAAATCAGGTATTTATAAAAACACTGAACATAAAATTATATCTATATGGAAGTAATAATATAAACCTGTTGAAACTAAAGTTTATCTTAAAAAAAAAAAAAAAAAAAAAAAAAAAATGCAAAATGCAAAATGCAATAGGAAATACAACAAAACCTAAGGTTTCAACTCCATGATACCACACAATGCTTATTTTATTCAGACTATAGAGCGAATAATGATCAACTATGGAGTTTATATATCAACAAAAATATCCTACAGACTTGATTTATCAGAAATTATGGCAAATAGAGACCTTAGAAAATAATAATACTGAAAATACAACACAGGTTCTTGGTATTACGAAGAAAAGGCAAGGGATGCTGGTATTGGGCATGAGCAGTCGCGCATGCTAGCGTGACGATATGAGCCCCTGGCAGCAGGGCCCAGGCCACCAGCCCTATATCCTGGGTTGTATTACCCAGGATATAGGGCTTGTGCATCAGGAAGTCACCCGTCGGCAAAGGGTTAATGGACTAATACCACTAATCTAATTCTAGAGGCTGTATTTGACATAGACTTCCTATATGTTATATTTACAAATTAATTTTGAGATTCTGATAACATGAGTCATAAAAACATGAATTTTCTTACCTTTTATCCTTTAAACACATTTCATATGCACTTGATAATTCGTCTTCTGGGATATTTTCTTTGGCATCTTCATCTTCCTTGTTCAATTGTTTATCTTCATTACTGGTTTCAGCATTATTGTCTGATCTCAACTTTTTATTCTGATGTTCTAAATTCTCCCTGAAAATAATAGTCTGACACTAAAATACATTTGGGAAAATCACAATGACAAAGAAAAATAAGAAGTTCAGTACTGCATTATATTCATGCATTTATAATTAAGAAGCTTTACTCAATTCAGCAACTGAGCATACATAAAAGCTCCATCTTCTTTCACTGCTTTAAATAAACTGGATTTGACTCACTGTCATTTTACACATACTTTCCATTTACAGATGAATGGAACTGAGAAATAGCTAAATAAAAACTTTCAGTGATACATAATAACAAGAAACCATATGCTACCTCTGGTATGTATACACAAACTGAAATAATAATAGCACTTAAATGAATATAGTAACTAAACTTCTGAAATCATAAATGGTTCTCCTGATACAAACTCACTTGGTAAGGCTTATGGGGAAGATGAGAGCTCCTTTTCTTTCAGTAACTAAATACGGGAAAGATGAATCGAAGATATCCACACCCTGTTGCACCAAGGTGATGACAGTTAGTGGATTCCATGCACCTGATGCTTGCCGAGGGAGTACTTGAGGTAAGGGGTCCTACATGTATTGAGAGTCACAGAATATCTTTAAAAAGCAGCAAATCACATCTATTGCAAAATGAAAGCTCAGTTAATATGCAAACAGTAAGTGAAAAGATAGATGGATAGATTTATGGCATTCTAAAGATATTATTAAGGTTTTGGTTATACATATATTTCATAATAGTAGTTTAGCCTAAAGTGCATTAAAAACAACAACAAAAAATCAACAAGTGATATGACAGCTAGATCTTGATAATTAAAAATTGTTTTCTTCATGAAAATGTCTCTCATCTCCAAAATATGATTGCCTTTGGAATTGAAATAAAATCTATCCACTGCATAACCAAGTTCTTCAAAAGGTAACAAGATATAAACAAGAACATACTAAAAAGAAAAACTTTGAACAAAATCTAAAGCAATGCAAAGAAAACCTATGAACTCACTAATATGAAAAAATCAGGCTTATACTTACCAAAGACACTTTAACAAGATTAGAGATAAGTTTTGAGTCAAGCTTCTCTGCTGTTGCACCATTAGTATGCAAACCCAAGAGGGTGAATCCTGATATGGATTCATTTTTAATTTTCTCTATTATTGCTTTGGAAAATCTTTTACGTTCATCTTCATTGTAGCCACCTAATAAAGGTACAAATAATGCAGCCTCATGCAGCCCCTAAAATAAAAGATACATTAATTATTTGTAAATGCTATATATGTATCATCCACTCAATTCCATGCACAAATATGTGTACATGTATACATGCACGCACGCACACACATGCGTGCACACACCCACACCCACGCACACACAAAGAATTTCTGTTTTATTATCTCAGAAAAAGTTGCTTATATTAAAAACCAAGATAATAATATGAAATAGAGAAAATCTACTACACTTCCAGTCAAATACTTGACTCTCTTCAGGGAAAAAACATCAACAAAGATATTCAGCATCCATTATAATGTTCCAATATTAACCCCCAAGAACTGCAAATCAAGGAAGCATACTTTGTTTCCTGGGATTTCAAAATACTTAGAGCATTATAAGAGGACCAACTTCAATTAATTACAGAGTTATCCTCAATAATAAGTGGAAATATACACAAATAATGCAACAAAATCATTTAGATCTATGTTCATATGTCGCTAAATGTATAAATAATATAATGGAGTGGGTTTGGGGCACATAGGTGAGGAAAAGAGGGGGGATTCACTGGACAAAATAAGCTATATGGTATTAGAATCACTACTTCACACTCGATACAGAGAGATGTGGCGAACATGATGGCCTACAATGAAGTGAGAATATGGAGATGATACTGTGAGTGTGGCTGAGGGAAACTTGCCAAACAATACCAGATATATTAATGCATCTCACTGCTAATAATAATTTAAAAAATGATGACTTGAGAAAAAAGCCTGACAGCTTTTTATAGGTACGGCATAATATTGGCAAACAGAACTTTTGGGTGTCACTACCAGGTGCAGACCCATACGGTATGACTACCGGCGTGGTCCATTTCTGGCCTGTCCTTCTGGGGATGGCTGTACATGTGATGGCTATACAGCTGTATGAATGACTGTTTTTTAACTATTTTGTATGTGTGTGTGTGTGCACGATATAAGTTTGCATATGTGTTTTTCATTGCATATTTGTTTTGTCAGCTGTGTTTGTGTTTCTCAGCCACCCTGGCTCCTTCTAGTGGAACCCTCCTCAGAATGAATGTGAGGAAGATCGTTAGCAGGTGCACATGTCTGTTGACACACCTTTCCAGAGGTGGTGGCAATGTGCGCTCTGCTGGAGGAACCACCGGTGCAGGAAGGAGACCAGGATCATGTGCAGTGCTGCAGAGTCTCCCTCTGCCCAACACTGTGCTTCCAGGCACACCACGCCTGAAGGCACAGGTGTGGGGCAAGGAGAACCATTATATATTTGTTTTGTTGGATGTGTCGGTGTCTCTATTTACTGGATTCCTTTTATCTTATTGCTGCTTTTATTTCCGACCTGTCTACACTGGGTTAAAAAGCCTCTACAATTTCACTACAAATACTATGGTCATTATATCATGAATATTCATATTTTTATATCTTTATATGAAAATATAAGAGGGATTGGCCATAACCTCTAATCCATCATATTATGAACTGCTATCTGTTAGTAATAAGACCTTAATTTCAGTTTGAACTAGCACATCACCTGCTTCTTTTTACTGATGTCTATGCACTGATCCAGCATAAGTGTAGAGTTCATGATTGACTTAGATATTCTCTTCTTTGAAGAATTTACATCAGTATCTGCATCATTTAGAGCTTCATACCAGTCAGGTTGCATAGCTTCCACTAATTCCATATATCTGCAAAATGCCGAAACTATTGTAATGTAAGCTTATAAGAAATATCTGTAAAATATGAATACTACACACATCACAGAACTACATAAATGAATAATATAAACCTTACCTTTCAGCTGCAATAACTTGTCGACCTCCATATGTCCATACAGAAATGCCTTTTTTCTCATTATAACCACTTGGTGTCCTTTTTGTGGTATCCTGGACAGTCACACATACACTATGACTCTGAGATGGATTTGCAAAAGCATAATATCAATATTTTCACCTCAACAATATACAATACTGAAGTCCACTTATGTAATCCTTTTAATAAAAACACATAATTCTACAAAAAAGTAGACAATATTTGTTCAGTTTCTGAAAGAGGGATAAAAAGAAAAGATAAAATTACATACCTTGAGTGCTGAAAATTGTGCAACTCCTTTTTTGAACTTCTGGAGTGTTTTTGTAAGATCGCAAAAATGCTGTGCCGGAAAACACACTGGTACTTCCTTATCTACAACAAGGTGTAGAACATCCTACAAAAGTAAACTAAAAAGTAACACTTATACATCCAAGCATTATAGGATTATGAATTGTTAAATTGTTAAAATGTATTCAATTGCAATTCACAAAACCTGAATAAAAATTGGTATCATAAAACCTTGCTACATCATTAATATACATCTTGAGCCTACATGATAAAAGTTTGTAGGAAATCTTACTCATATCCTTTACCAATGGAAAAAAAGAAAAAAGAAAAAAAAGTGTAATTATAGAGTATACAGAGTACAGTCAAACCATATTCATAATATATATTTTCAATAATCTACAAGCATTTTGAATAAAACTATCATACCTAACCACAGAAATTAGCACCTCCTTCCATTTCCTTACCTGAGTGAGATGTGGTGCACTGCCACCCAATGTAGATATCATAGAAAGAGGAGTCTCATGAACAGCTGTGGGCTGGCTCCTCAAACCTGTCAGTCTTCCAAGGCGCCCACCACCTTTACTAGCTTGCTCTACCACAAACTTCATTTTTTTGAGAAAATAAATCTGAAATAAAAATTTCTATGATTCCTCTAACCCTGACTTCCTTTACAGACTGTCTTCTTTATATTTATCTCAAACTAATAAAAAGTGTATACATTACAAGCAACTGGTTAACAACAATTCTCCATTTACAACTATGAGTAAAAATGCCAATTATTTGTTTTACATTTTTCGTACATTATACAGAACTACAACTTTGCCATGCATAACATACATACTCTGGTATTATCTCTCAATAGTTTAAGGACATGCTTAACAGTCTAAACAAAAGTTACAATAAATCTAAGCTGAACATTTATTTTTATGAAGGAATAAGCTACTTCTCTTCAAATGTATTACTTTGTCTCCCTCTCACTCCCTATTCTCTATTAATAATAATAAAAAAAAACTTCCTTTACCTAGTTATCATCTCACAGTCATTTACCCATCTAACCTATCTTAGACTCATTAACCTACAGTATTCCTATCTTTCATTTTCAGGGTTTGTTCATACGTTCTAGATGACATCAGAAGGGTACTTTCTGGCAAAACTTTCCAGTAAATTTCCAGTAAACTTTATGAAAAACTTAATTTAGATTGTGCTCTGGATGTGACTACACAAGCTCATGATATATAACATTATTTTCAATTTAAATAAGATGCATATTGCATAACCCCTTTATTCCTAGAAAACCATATTCTTAAAGGAACCTGTAGTACATACATTACAATGTGTAGGTAAGTATGGAAATGTAAGCTGAGGCCAGGTAGTATGATTTACTATAAAATCTAAAGTAAATCAACTGTTTCAAGGGATTGTGTGCCAATTGAGTCTCTGTCGTATTGATTGGGTCTATTAGTCAGTGAACTAAGAGAAAATCTACTTTGCCAAAGACATTTTAATCAAATGGAAATATGCATTTTTATGAATCCTGATGTAATATCTGATGAGTTCGGGGAGGAGCTTTCCCCGTCATGTGTGACTTGAAACGTACTTGCTGAAATACTATAGCAGGGAGAATGGCACTACCTAGTACACTGATTATACTTTCTTTTCTCACTACTTGTAGTTTGATAGACTTGCTTTGAGCCTCTTTGAGCTATGACATTTCTTGGTTTTACCCTGTTGTTGTTAAGGCTTCATCCAGATTAAAAACTTGAGACCCATCTGCAAAGGATGCACATCTATCATAGACATCTTTAAGTTTACTAAATGTTGTGTTTACTGAAAGATGTAGCTCTTAAAAGTCTAAATGCTTCTGGTTTCCAGTCATCATATGCCATTTAGGTTAAATCAAACAAAAGGACTGCACCGACTAGGAGAAAATTTAAGATCATAGCATTGTAGGCAATGAAAATCTACACTGACTGATATCAAAATTAATTTGCAGAAGCCCACCGATTCCAGTTAAATGACGAAAATATATTGCAATGTTTACTAAGTTCTCGCTCATTGTTCACACCGACTGCTTGGTCACTGCGCACCTATGTCACATGACGTCACAATGAATTGTATATTCCATTATTTTTTATAGCTTTTCATTTACATCTCATACCTATCAAATCTT